CACACACACACACACACACACACACACACACACACACACACACACACACACACACACACACACACACACACACACACACACACACACACACACACACACACACACGTATGCGCATATATATATATATACATATATATATATATATATATATATATATATATATATATATATATATATATATATACATATACATATATATATATATATATATATATATATATATATATATATATATATATATATATATATATATATATATATATATATATACACACACATACATAGAGAGAGAGGGGGGAATACAAAAACAGAGGGCTGTCCGCTGAAACAAAGCAGCGAGATATAGCGAAAGAAAGAGTGAGAAGGGAGAGGGAATAAGAGAGGGGGGAGGAGGGGAGGGGGATTGAGCAGTCAGTCCCTCCCATTCCATCAGCGCCAAAGAGGGTTTGGCACTTGGCACCAATCCTGGTCTCTCCGGCACTCGAGCCCCCCCGCCCTGCCCCTGGAAAGCCGCGGCCGGGTCTACTTAAAACCTATATATAACAATTTGCATATTTCATACCCGACTCTCCGAGGCCGTTGCTCGCGCTTTCTTCCAAAGGAGAGACGACGCCAATTCTTCAAGGAACACGTAAGAATCACGTTTGATTTTGTTCTAATCTTGCTTTCATTTTTTTCCCTTACGACTCACACCAACTCCCTGGTGCAACCTGGATAATTTTTATTAAAAATTATTTCCCAGGTCGACATTTGCACAACCAGATGGCGTGGGTATGGCGTGTGTGACGTCACGGTGCCCACACTCGGGACGCTACCTGGTGACGCTCAGCGGCAAGTGCGGCATCGCAAAAGTGCTTCTTTAAGATTAATAAATAAAAAAGCCACTTCGACGAATGATCATATTCAATATTCAGTTTAGTTTCTCTTCGTTTTAACAAAATATATATAATACTCAGACATTCACCACTCTCTGGCGCCCCCTCCCCCCTTGTCTGGCTCCGCGGCCGAGAGAGGGCTAAAACAAGGGCTTTTTTTTCTTAAGGAGAAGCAGGGAAGGTTTCAAGACATTATACGCTACTACAGGTTGGGTGTCTAGAACATCTCCCAGACTATGTTGACTAACAATCAACTGCGCGACATTACAAGAACACGGGCTAGGCCTATAAGAACACGGGCTTTTTCCTAGGCCTATTACAACACCGGCTGGACCTAGGTTTACAGCTCTATCACACTTTTTTATATATTAACTTAATCCTGTTGGCTTTTAATTATTATTGGGGCTATAAGTGAAGGGCGCTCACTCAAATCTCAACAATCTCCTATTAAATAAACTCTTAAAAAGTACTAATCTATCGTCACAAAATATAAAACAGATCAAACTATATACACGTGAATCATAATCATATAGAATCATGTAGTTTTTGTGGTCTACATGGTTTATATATAACTGACCGTATGCATGCCTTATGTGGTAAGCAGATTCGGCGTTTCACATTCTCTCTCTCTCTCTCTCTTGCTTTCTTTCTCTCTCTCTTTCTCCACTTTCGCTCAATTCAGTGTAGACAAACTCAGCACCTTTGTTAAAATATATATATGTATATATTTGCTCTTCTGTGATGGCTCTTGGATCCGAGCCGTGGAGCCGTCTCACAAATCACGTGAGGAAGCGACAGATATAAGGGGGCGAAACAGGTACGAAAGGGAGGGAGAAGAAGTGAGGGTAATAAACGGGAGGGGAAGAGGGAAAAGGTGGAGAAGAAAAAAAAATGTATATATAGGGTTAATGAGCAAATTGGGCATAATCATTCCTTGATTTTTTTTTCTTTCTCTCTCTCTCTTTCTTTCTTTCTTTCTTCTCTCTCTCTCTCTCTCTTTCCCTTTGACTTTCGTCTTTCATCCATCTCCATTTCTTCACTTTTGTTGAGCATTTCAAAATAATGGGATATGGTATTGCCAAGTACGATTAAAAGTTTAGCTCTCTCTCTCTCGCTCTCTCTTTCTCTCTGTCTCTCTCTCACCACCATGCACACTGGCACTCATGCAAACGCTAATACGAGGTCATGTTTCTAACTACCTGATTTGACGTATCTTGCAGATTCTCTGACGTCACCTTTACGTAGTGAGTGACGTCACTATGTTGTGTTTGTGCGTTCTTTAGGCGTCTTTTCTATTTTTTTCTACTTTCCTTATTCCCTCTTGTCTTGTCGTTAATGTACGTTAATTTTTATATATCATTCTCCAAACAGTTCGAGACAATGGGAATTGCAGAGAATGATAATGTATTGCAAAATACACTAAAGCTGCTGTTTATTTATTTATTTATTTATTTTTAACTCGACGCGATGTTCTGCAACTCTGACTCTCACTCCTATTTAAAGGTATGACGTCACTAATCTGCAAGTTCTGACGTCACTTCTAGGACTGGTGTGTTGCGTTTAAGATGTGAATATAACAAGTGGAAATCATGATTACAAAATGGTTTTAAGGAAGAACATTAAAAAAATGGATATAAAAATTAAGCGAAAATGAATAACGAGATGAAATGTAAGATATAAAGAGAGTTATAATCATAGTCATTAAGTTATCAATAATAATAATAATAATAATAATAATAATAATAATAATTATTATTATTATTATATCAATAAAAGGAACAACAGTGATAATAATAACAATCATCTTAATAATAATAGTAATACTCATAATAATAATAGTAATAATCATAATAATGATGATAATAATAATAGTGATATATGAAATAATAATAACAATAATTATATTTGTAATAATGATAATAATAACAATAACGATAATAATAAAAATGATAACAAACGAATTTAAAAAAACGCCACCATTTTCGTCCCAATGTCTGAAGCGCAACACACCGACGCATAAAGTACACTACACTAAAACAAACACACGCTCATCTACTGATGTGGTCCCTTATTTAAATTGTTGGAGGGCCACCTTTTGTATCTCCACCAGTCGCCAACTGCCTGAGACCCGCCCCCCCTCCCAACGGCCCTCCCTCACGCTCACTCTTCTCCCCCCCAACACACACCCTACGCTGAGGATGGGTGGGAGGGGGGGAAGGGAAAGTTGGGGGTTGGGGGAGGGTCGATAGGGGGGGGTATAAGGGGTTGTTTCCTCTTCTTAATATCTGCAGATTCTCTTTTTTTTTCTTTTTTTTTCTCTCTAATTGTTTATTATTTTTTTGTCTGTTTTTTTTTTTTCGTTTATTCCCAGAAATAACCTTCATCATCTGGCTGGCTTCCTACATACTCGACGATGGATCTTTAAAAAGTACCTCTTCCTTTTTCTTTTCTTTTCAGCTAATCTGTTTGTTTGTTTTCTTCTTTTTAAGTTTTCCGATTTTCTAGCCCAGGTGAAGGGGATCTCTGCCTGTATGCATGGACGTTTGTTTATCTGTGTGTACGTGTGTGGTTATGTCCGATTGTAAGCATGTGTTTGTGGGTATTTGTACGTATGCTTGTGTGTATGTTTGTATTCATATGTATAGGTATGTGTGTATGTTTGTATTCATATATGTAGGTATGTGTGTATGTTTGTATTCATATGTATAGGTATGTGTGTATGTTTGTATTCATATGTATAGGTATGTGTGTATGTTTGTATTCATATGTATAGGTATGTGTGTATGTTTGTATTCATATGTATAGGTATGTGTGTATGTTTGTATTCATATGTATAGGTATGTGTGTATGTTTGTATTCATATGTATAGGTATGTGTGTATGTTTGTATTCATATGTATAGGTATGTGTGTATGTTTGTAT